TGAACGATTAACTCCTGTGCAGCAGTATAGTTTACATAGTGTGTACATAGTGTACATCACTTACATAGTCACAAAAGCTTAAAGAACATACTTGGTGTTATTTTCTGCAAAAATGTAGGTAGAGTTTCTCATTTTTTAAGAATTACGGCTTGTGAATGAATGGCTAGTGGTGCAAGGAGGTAGATTGTTCAAACTGTTTCAGTGATGAAATGGCATTAAAAGACAAATGTTCTGCTAGATTTTTTTTTTTTTTCACTTAAGCAGTTGCTAGAACTGACATAAGAAGGTGGTATGGTTATAAGCAGGGAAAAGAAGTGGTCTGTTGGACTCTGAATTAAGGAAATTTGTCAGTAATAAACTAAGGTAACTTCTAACAGTAAGCTGTGATGAAAAACTTAGTACTTCTGAAGTAAGAAAGTCATATCCACAGCTGCTGAGAAAAAGAGCTGATTTGCTTCGTACAAGCTAGGCGTTCTTTATCATTAATCAGTTCAATAACACCTAAAATTACAATATACCATTAAAGTCAGAGTGTCGTGGTGCTTATTAAGTGTTTCAGGCCTTATCATTTGTTTGGGTGAAACTCATTTCCTTCTGATGTTGCAGGATATACAGTTATAAAGAAGAACTGCTACTGAGAGCAGAACAAAAATATCACGAAGGATGTACGTATGGCCAGTTATGGATTGATAAAGGGTATGCTTGCCATCTTTGATAAAACTCTTTTTGCAGTAGTATATATTACTTAATAGCATACATTCCATTGTAGTTGTTCTTTAGGAAGCTACTAACTTCTGTTTCAATTTCGTTTTTTGCTTCTTAATGATTTTTTATCTTCAGAAATCTCTTCTCAGAGCAAATGGTGCTGTGGAAGACAATCAGTACCCTCTCCTGAATCTAGCTGGAACCTGTGAGTTCTAGGTGTGTGACACCGAACAGCAGGTAGTTTTTAAGCAGATTTGGTTTTTCTAAAGGGATGGTTTGTTGCTTGTCCTCCCTTTCCTCATCTTCCTGCCAGCTCTGGCAGAAAGTTTCACTTATTTTCTGGTTTTGGTTTCTGCTGGCTTAGTGAAGTGAATCTACCCAAGAAAGGATGAGCCAGTTCTGGTGCAAAGGAGGGAACATGACTGCGCAGTCAGGAGTGGGTGGTAGAAGAGTAAGGGATAAAACCCATTTCTGTTAGACTGCCTTGGCTGTCTCTGCTAATCTGACCTTCAGAATCCTTCTGGATTTCTTCATTAAAGTGCAGTTCTTATAGTGTACAAATTATTGCCTTTACGAGTGAGTCCACAATTTGAAAATACTTCCTAGCTAAAGATACAATTAGATATTTAATGGCTTCTACATACTGGTGTTTTCCATGTGTGGTTGGAAAATAGAATTAATTTCTGTTGGAAAAATCTAGCACAGAAGTTTTTACAGAATTGTCTTTTAAAATCATCAGTGCAGTATCTGTGCCTGAGAAAAAGGAGAATGACATTTCTGAGCAATGTCTAATTAAGTATCCATCTGTGTCTGTAAGCATTACAGCTTATTTTTCGGCGCTGTGTTGTTCTCATTGAAGTGAGACACCGGTCTCTCTGTAGCATCACCTTGAGGTTACCTTTGCTGGTACTGTTAGTAGAAAAGTGGATGACAAGAAAGGAATGGGAGTTTTTCGATATAGTCTTCCTCTCTCTGATCTATAAATTTCTCAAGTGGAACTAAATCAGTACGCTTTTTCTTTCTTTAAGACAGGGCTTTTCTTGGCATGGATGTTTTCCCCTGAACTGTGTGTGTTCTTCCCTGCAGCAAAGTCCGTTTGAGTCACAACAGACTGTTTTTCCACCAAGATAAAGATCAAGTTCTTTTTTTTTATATGCGTACCAATACTAGAATTGTTGACTTTTTAAATAGCCAGTTCAAAGGGCCCAGAGAGCACAAACCTCATCAGAGCAAGTATCTTCACGCACACAGAAACACACATCAGTGTAGACCAGATACACTTCGGTGAGTTTACCAGTCCCCATGCTGCCTTATTACTGGAAATACAGTTCACTGGTCCCTGTGTGAGGGATCAAACCAGCATGGTTTGAGTAGTTAGAGCAAGATCCTACTTAATAAAAAAATCTTCTTAGGTCGTGGAGTAGGCTCTTAGCAAGGTGGCAGCATGTAGATGAAACATGCTTTCTTCTGGCTGATAGGCCAGAGAGATGGAAAGGCAAGTGTGGGTGTTCTTATAGTCCCTTTGGGAGCTGAGAGGCAGATGATGTTCCCAGTAGGATGTGCGTGAGAAAAGAGTCTCTAATTCACTTTGGTGCCCTTTAGCCTTGTGTTGTGCTCCTCAGGCTAACAGGGTGAATAGTGCAGAAGCTGTTCTGCAGTTCAGTATGAATTTTTAAATATGTTCCTTTTGGCCAGGTTGATATTCTTCCTGTATATGTTTGAGCTATCAAATTTTTCCTTGCATGAGCAGAAGGTACATTTCAAAGCTCTTAGAAATGCTGTTTTTCTTTTCACAGTGCATGACCAGAGCAAAGCTGGAAGTTGCACTAACGGGCACAATATGTATCCCACTATGCATAGCTCTCGGCCAGTCATTTAATCATCAAATCTGTGTTTTACTTACCTGTGTAATAGGAGAAGGTGGTGGGTGTAATGGGAGAAGGTTCTCAGAGGGTGGTGAGGCACTGGAACAGGTTGCCCAGAGAAGTTGTGGCTGCCCCATCCCTGGAAGTGTTCAAGGCCAGGTTGGATGGGGCTTTGTGCGACCTGGTGTAGTGGAGGGTGTCCCTGCCCATGGCAGGGGGGTTGGAACTGGATGATCTTTGAGGTCCCTTCCAACCCAAACCATTCTATGAGAATTATTTGATAATGTAGATTTGCAGAGGAAATCTGTAGAAATACTGGTTTTATTAGTATTGGGATGTTTATGTCTCAGAACATGTGTATTCATCGTTTGGGTTTGATGCTGTGCTGTGGCCTTGGAAATAAATTGGTTCTCATGTGGTGTTTACTGCCTACATTAAATTACCTTCTCCAGAAATTCTTCTTTTAAGTTGCTTTCAAGAGACTTTTACTCAGTGCAAGTATTGGCAAACATTTTTCTTATATATATGTTCCTATATTTTACAGTATGTATTTTATTCTTTTTTTTTTTTTTGAGGAAGTAAAATGCTTTTTTTACTGGGGGTTTGGGTGGTTGATTTCTTTTCATATTTAGAGCATTATCTCCGTCTTTTTTTTTGCGTTGTCTGATATTAACTAAGCTTTCTTTCTTTTACTGTTGCTTCTCTCCTGTAAATTCCCTTGCATTATCCAGCGTTTCATTCATTAGCCTGAAGGAAGCATGAACTCTAATATTCTTTAAAAATTAAGAATATTCCAAAGTGGGTTAGGGCAGACAGGACAGCATTAAGCTTTTCACAGCGCCTTTTAGAAGCAGGGAGGTAGCCTTATTTCATGCTGCAGATGGAGGGGAGGAAAGCAGCATACAGTTACATTCGTACAATTACAGGCAGCTTCAGATGGATCAGGAAACTGAAAGAAGGATTGTCAGGGAGCAGAAAAAATCTCTCTGAACCATCCGTGCTTTCTCAGGCTGCTCAACTACTAATTGACCTCATCTGCAGAAATGCTTTTTTTAAAAAAAACAGTAGATTAAATCTTAACAGCTCAGTTGTTGGGTTTTTTTTCCATGTCTACACTTTTCACAAAGTGCCATAAATTTATTATTTACTATACTTCTAAACCCATAAACAATTTTGGCCCATACCATTCATCCGCAAGCGAATGTGGTAATTGAAAGATCTTTGTTGTGCTCCGAGTAAAAATTCAGGTGGAAGGCAAAGTGTGAATAATGAAGATAAAATGATAAACACTGGTCTCTAAACAAAATTTCCCTGAAGGTACTTTTGGGTTGATAATGTGCAAGTAGTCAATCAGATGAACAGCTTAGGTTTTGTATTTGCACTGAAGCAATGCGATCTATTGAATTATAACTTGAAGTAAAATTTAGGATACAGATGTGGGTGGGTACTCTTGCTTGCTTGCAGCCCGTACTGTTTGATGCTATTTTCCTGGCAATTTTGAGAGAAACTAGGCCAACCTGTAGGTTCTCGTATGATTGGGACTTGCATGAGAGACACTCAAGGGCTGCTTGAGTGGTGTATCAGATACGCCAGAAAAGTCTTTACATGACTCACCAGCACCGTGGTTCTCTGCTGAGAACAAGTCCCTGTTACACATAGCTAATGTTTCTGAAGACCTTGCCTGTAGATGTTGTAAAACCCCGTGTCCTTGACGGTTTAGTGTCACTTCATGGCTCTTCTTTGTACTGTGTCATGTCTTCGGTACGCGAGATCTGCTGTCAGAGCAGTTCCGCTGGAGAAGGAAGGTGTTTGTAGTCTTGCTCTGTGGTGTTCAGCAGCTGCTTGGTGTCTGCTCAGAGTCATTGGATTTCGCCTGTGTCATGTTGATACTGAAAGTTTGCAAATTACCATGTGCAAAACACATTGTAGTTTCGTAAGGGTAAGGTCCTCTTCAACTGAAAGTAGATTTCTCGTAGATAACAGGAACTGAACTGTGTTCTGGTGTGTCCAGGTAGGTGACTACCAAGTCTGGGAATTTTCAGGCTAGCATTGTTCGTAAGGGCTAAAATTCTCCATTATGTTTAAAGTTATAGATAAAGAAGTTTAGTATGTGTTGCCTATAATATATTGATTTAAATTTTATAAAGTAAGTGTTCAGAAATATTTTTATTATTTTTTCTGATGTGTTTTGATTACTCTAGTGAGATGAACCACATGTAATATGATTCCAGTACCATCTTTCATGACCGTGTGAAAGAAAGGATAGTTTGGTGCAACCGGATGAGTTCACTAGGAGAAAATAAATGCAGAAAACCAGTACAATACTGAAAAATACTGCCTGTAATTGAAAACAGTGAGTTGCTTAGTTAATACTGTGAAGAGCAGGATTGAGTGAGTTATTGGGGTAAATCATTCATACTGTTCTGTTCTCGTGCAGGCTGCTGTATTGCTGAAGTCGGTATCTAGTTCACCCAGTCTTCCAGACTGCTCCATGCTTTGAGACCAGGAGGACCTTGGTGTTCTGAAATGAAGATGGAGGCAGTGGGAAAAGCAGAAGAACTTGTCGATTCAGAAGTTCCACCAAAGACTTCTGAAAAGCAAGAGACTGCTCCTGATGAAGACCGACCTGTAGAACTCGAGACGCAAACTGACAAGGACAACGTGCCCACTGCAGCAGACTCTGCGGTGCTCTCCTCCATGCCTTGCTTACTGATGGAACTGAGGCGAGACTCCTCGGAGTCTCAGCTAGCATCTACAGAGAGCGATAAGCCAACGGGTGGTCGAGTTTCCGAGAGTGACTCTTCTAACCATTGCATGCTTTCCCCTTCTTCCAGCGGGCACTTGGCTGACTCAGATACGTTGTCTTCCACAGAAGAGAATGAGCCCTGTCAAGCTGAAGCTGCTGCAGAAGGAGACACTTCCGTGGTGTCTGGAGCTGCAGTTGGGAGGAAATCCCGGCGATCCAGGTCTGAAAGTGAAACTTCAGCAATGGCTGCCAAGAAAAACCGGCAGTCTAGCGATAAGCAGAATGGTCGAGTTACCAAGGTAAAAGGTCACCGAAGCCAAAAGCACAAAGAACGAATCCGGCTGCTCAGGCAGAAGCGGGAGGCAGCTGCTCGCAAGAAGTACAACCTGCTGCAGGACAGCAGTACCAGTGATAGTGACCTGACGTGCGACTCGAGCACGAGTTCGTCAGATGACGAGGAAGAGGTTTCAGGGAGCAGCAAGACAATCACTGCAGAGATACCAGGTAGAGGATGTTTTTTAAACTGAACTGTAACACACCTGACATCGTTTCTCAGCTGTCATGCTAAATTAGATGAGTGACACTTGAGAAAAAACAGGACTACTGCAGCTCTCTGTAAATTCGAAGACTGCAGTATACCAACAAGACATGGGCACACTTAAAAATCTGTTCTGAGGTTTCAGTGCACTTTTGCACACCGACAGAGCATAGAAATGGTAAATTGGAGGAAGGACTATCTTTGAATTCTGGGATTTTCAGATCTTTTCCTTTGTAAGCCTATATGAACTCCTGTCAGTGCTGTCAAATCCCATTGGATGCTGACAATCTGATAAATACTTTCTTAAGATAAGTGGCCAGCTTTGCTTTAATATGTTAAGAGCACAGCTCAGCAGCTGCGCGAGGAATAACACGGCGTACCTCTTGCCCGTGTTGCAGTAAGGCCCTGTTCACTCTTGCACTTAACGCTGTGCTTCCAGCTCTACGTTTCCGTGCATGACCAACCTCCTTAGCCTTATTGCAAATTCTCGCAGACTGTAGCTGGTCACCTATTTCAGGACATATGAATTTGTTCATGCAGGTGCCCAAGCTATATCTGCACCTAAATTTTCGACATTCTAGACAAATCCATTTTCCTGTGTCATAAGGATCTATAATTTCTATATCTTTAGTTTTCCGACAGACCCATGTTAAGATTAGAGGCAGCAAATTATACGAGTCTTCTCAAAAGGTCAATTATTAAGTTTCTTGTCTGCTGAGTCTTTGTTATTTTATTAGGCCAAGTGCCGTGGACAGGATTTTGTGTGAATTATTCTCGCAGCATATTATACCATAGAACCGTCATCATCTGGCAATCAAAAATAAAATCACGTAAAAATAAACTTTTTGGCTTGCCAATTTTTACTGGGTTACATGCCTTTTTGCCTCTTGTGCTATAAGATTATTTTTTTTTTGGAGATAAATATCAGCTTACACAGGGCAAGAACATTTAAAGGAAAACTGCAATAATTAGTCTTAAGTTGCTGAACTAATGTTTGCTAGATGAGTTATTTGAAATATTTGCAGCAGATTTTACAAGTAACTGTGTTTTAACTGAGTTATGGTGAATGATTCTTTCATTATGAGAACTGGCATTTTTCCCACATAGTGCTAGGAAGCAGGTTGCACAAAGGAAGTTAAGGTTTATTATTAGAAAGTCAGGGAAAGGCATAGTCCCCCTGTAATTATTGTGTAGTAAACTTTGAATAGAGACCTAAAATTATTTTTACCAATGTAGTAGTTAGTCAGACTTTTAGACTTCATAGTTTTTTATTTACTATATTTACACCTTGGGCGATTAAAGCCTGTTGAAGTAGAACGTTGTGTTGAGTTTTGGGACAGGTTCCTCCCCACTCCCAAAAAAACCCCAAAACACACAGAATAAATCCCCCAAGTTGTGTTCTTTTTAAATCATAAAAGTAACTTGTGACTCAGAAAAGGCACCACCCGGTATTTTCGGATCTGCCTGGATTTCTGACTTGCGTTGCAGAGATCCGAAACCACTCTAGGATACTTTTCTGTGTCACTAGTCTCTTCCGTGTTTGAGCTCTTCATCGTAACTGTGAGGTGCTTGCAACGAAGAGATCCCGTTGTAGTACACAAAAGAACATGATGGTTTTGTGGTGGTTACACCAAGGCCCAATTTTACCTGCGATGCAAGATGTGGGAGTGCAAAAACCATCCTGAGGATCCGCGACCTTCATTTCTTAGCCTTTATTTCATGATATTTCATATCATCTGTGTGATACTGAGTTACTTTTAAGAGGTTAAAACTTTGGAGGTGTCCTTTTGGAATGAGGTGCAGTAGGTACCTGCCACATTGCGGTTTTCCTTTAAATAGAAATGACTTTGTTTTGCGGGGAATGGTCTTGCAGAGATAAGGACAGCGCTGGCCAAAAATGCATCCTGTGCTGCTTGTGGGTTAATGAAACGTTGTGGTCCTAACAGACGGAGCGGAGCTCTGAGTCTGAGTAGGACTCACAGCTCTCTGTCGCAGTGGTAGGTTCACATGCCATCTGCGATCCCTCTTCTTGGAACTGGAAAAGTGCTTAACTTAAATTATTTTTTTTTTTTTTTTAAATTAGAAAGCCATTTTAGTGCACTTAGCATAACACTGTGAGTACCCTCAAAATTTTAGGGAATGAACACGTAGTTAGAAAATAATACAGGGTATCAAAAAGCATTACTGGAAATTCAGGCCATGAGCATGCTTTGCAGACAGTCAAAAGCTGAGAGAAAACTTCAGGTTTAACTTGATTTTGAGTGTCAAGAAACTACAATGCCCCTGTCAGAAGGACATAAGCATGAAAAATATTTTGCCTTTACTTTTGAAAAAGTCTGTACACATTGGCAGAGAAGAGTTTTACGGGTAGCCCATATTCCCCGTATTTTTTCTGTATTGGGACACTTCAGCTGTAATGCTGGTTACTGTCTACGTAGCTTATTATTTGGACTGATTTTCAAATATCTGCTGTCTGAAAAATAGCTTTGCCAAGAGAGATGCTCTAAAACTTTTAGTGACAGTTAATTTAATGAGGCCTTCATGTACAAAATTATACATACTCTGGCTCTGAACCTTATATCGACACATGTAGCGTTACAGAAGACAGTTTGCTTGTGCATGGTCTGAAAATTAAAGTGCCATATTTGAGAATACAAATACATATTTGAGTCTTTGATGTTGTGTAACTAAACCTCTTCCATTTTAACAGTGCATTTATTTTTTTCAAACCATCCACATTGACTGGCTCTTACTAAATTTGTAAGGTAAGGAAAATACTGAGTGAAATACGTAATAATGCCATGAAGTTGTGAACAGAGCAGTCGTGCAATACGTAGTTCTCTCTGCTAAATCTGAATGTAATGTGGATTAAAATACTGGCAGGCTTTCTCGAGAAAGATGGAAGAGTAAAGAGTCGATCTTACTGGTGATGCTTCAAATATTGTGAGCTCAGTAGGAGCTAAGCGCAATATGATACGTTATTCTGAATATATTAGATGGTGTTAATTTATACTTGAAAATATATTGGTCCATTAGGTTCAGTCTAAACTTCGTGGATGCTACTGAGAATCTTTTCACTGAGCTCAGCAGTCATCATGTGGGGCTCTTTAATTCAGGGAATGCCTTGATTTTTGAATTATTGCAGTTGAGGACCGATTTCTTATCTTTTAACGATTGGGCCTCTCTATTGACATTTACGATTTTGTCATTCTTAAACAATACCGCATAGCATTCATATTGGGCATAAGAGGATGATCTTTGAGTCCCGAAATAGGTTCTGCTAGACCTGCTGCTTTTGAAAGGTTTTCCTTTAAACAATTTCAAACGTGACCATGCAGATTAGTTCTGAATGAAATTGGCATGAGAGCAAGTCTGGGAGTCGATATTTATTTCTATTGTAAACACTTCCTTTGGGAAAAGGAAGGAGTTTTTTTATTCCTTTTGAATTTTTAAAATACTGGCATTTCACCACCCATTGAGTTTTCTACAACTTGGAAAAATCTGAATTGAAATAAGGGTGACTCATATTTTAGGCTTTCAAAAATCTGTTAAAAAGTTTGAGTATTGATGTTGAAAAAGATATCGCACCTCACTTGGTTAAAAAAGGAAAAAATTTTTTTTTTTAATATGCAGAAACCCAAAGAGAGGGGCACAGTTTATGTGAGAGGTTACTGCCTCCTAAGAATTACGCATAGACCTTGGATGAAGCATCTTGCAAAGGATGAATTTGATTGAAGTGACTCGGAATGGCATTTATATAAGAACGGAGGGGGAAAAAAAAAAAAATCTGTTAAGAATGATTTGCAGTGAGATACCTCATTTGGAAATGCCAGGTAGCATAATGACATGGAGGAATCCACCGTTGCTAATTAGAATGAGAATGCGACATGTCGTCTTAAATTGTTACGTTGTCAGACTTGCTACATTAAATAACTTTGGATTTTCTCGTTATTTAGGTAGATAACTTAACAAATCCCACAAAGATACAGCATTGGTGCCGTTTTGCAGTAGGTATTGCCTTGAAAATAAGATAGGAGTCTTGGATTCTGACCCCTTTGTGATTGCATATTCCTTTGCTTTTTAACTTGGCGTAACTTCAAATTCTATAGAACTGTAAGTTTACAGTAGCAAATGGACCAGTTAGATAAATGCTAGCTTTTTTAATATCATAAAAATGCATTTTTACACTTGTTTTTTTTTCTTTTAACACTGAAGGTCACCAGTAAAGAAAAGATTGACTAAGACTTCTTGTTGTAAGAACCACCAGGGAAACATTTGAAACATTGATTTGCTGCTACTGTAAATTGTAGATTTACTATGAGTGATGCCTTTTAAATACAATATTACAGGGTAATTTATATTTCAATACAAAGTCTTTTAAGTTATAAAAACAGTTTTGTCATCTTTGACTGTGCATGTTCATTCTGAAGTGTAAAAGCCTAGCTAGACTATGTCTCATATATTGCCATCAATAGCTTTTATTTATATTTCAGTTAAAACTTACTCAACATTACTTAAAGGTTTCTGATCATAAACCTGTGGAAGTCAGAAAGACTGCTGTTTGGGATGAGATCTTGGGATAAGATCCCTGGCTAAAGATGAACAAACAGAATTGTACTGCCCCTTCAACAGTAGGGGTATATAAACAGGAGTAGTATTTTTTTCAGGGAGGAAAAAGACACTGAACGTACAAAAAGAACCGTGTTTTGGGAAAAAGGTACCATTTTACTTCGTTACTTTAGTTAAAATGCACTCAGAGGGATGTAAATCTAGTTGCTATGCAGTAAGGTATTTTTGAGCAGAGGACCTGAATGCTGAATTTCCAGCCTGTCTGACAGGTAAACAGATGGGACAGAAGACCTAAAAAGTAGGGGGTTTATAGAAGGTTTTTGGCCCCCGATGGGTAGCATTGCTGCTGCTTGGAAATAAGAGAATAATCCTAGGCTTTGCTCAGCCGTTACTGAAG